GGTTTAGATCCCTCCCTCCCACATAATTTTAGACCAATTTCAAAACTGCCTTTTATTGCAAAGATTCTAGAAAGAATTGTGTCCAAACAGCTGCTCACTGTACTGGAAAATAACAAAATATTTGAAAAGTTTCAGTCTGGTTTTAGGAAGTACCACAGCACTGAGACTGCCCTGCTTAAAGTCACCAATGACCTTTTAATGTCTGCTGATGAAGGCATGTGCTCAGTCCTGGTACTCCTGGACCTTAGCGCTGCTTTTGACACCATTGATCACAACATCATGTTAGACAGACTGAGGCACTGGGTGGGGATCTCTGGTACTGGCCTAGAATGGTTTTCATCCTACCTGTCAAATAGGAAGTTTTGCGTGTCTGTAAACAACTCCTCATTCTGTCCGGTTAAATATGGTGTGCCTCAGGGGTCGGTCTTATGACCCATTTTGTTTTACTTGTATCTGCTTCCCCTTGGACATATTATCCATAAACATGGCATTTCTTTTCATATTTATGCTGATGACACACAAATATACTTGCCCGTCAGATCCACAGACCCTGGAATGCTGAGCTCACTTAACAACTGCCTTTGTGAAATTAAAAAATGGATGTCAAATAATAGCCTCCAGCTGAACTCAGACAAAGCAGAAATATGACCACATTACTTCTATTTTAGCTTCATTACACTGGCTCCCAGTATGTTTTAGAATTGACTTTAAAATTCTATTGATCACTTTTAAAGCTCTTCATGGCCTCTCGCCTTGTTATATTTCTGAACTTTTAGTCCCATACACACCAGCACGTACCTTGAGATCCTCGGGCAGAGGTCTGTTGTCTATTCCAGAGTCTCGACTGAAAACTAAAGGGGACAGAGCGTTTGCTGTCAGGGCCCCGAGGCTCTGGAACAGCCTGCCCGAGGAAATCAGGTCGGCTGAGTCAGTGAACTCAGTGCTGATTTTAATCAACTCAGAAGTCCCTTCTTAAAACATACTTTTATATGAGAGCCTTTCCCGATCTTATTTGACTTTATTATATCCCTTTTATTTTATTCTATTTTACTAATTTTATATTTATCTTAAACGTGTATTTTAGTCTTTTCAATGTTTTCATGCTTTTATCTTGTATTGTTTTTGTATTATTGTCTTTTGGGTATTCTTGTCTTTACACTTGTTAAAGCACTTTGTAACTTGTTTTTGAAAAGTGCTCTACAAATAAAGATTATTATTATTACCACCCCGCAAGGGGTGTGAGGGGGATTTTTTTATTTTTAAATATATATTTATATTATTAGATATTTAATGGAAGCAAGCCAACTGATCTGCCACTTAACATCATAATAAGCAAAACCCAACACAACGGTAGCCTAATATCGGTTCACACACAGGTATATTGCTGTGGTAAGAGATGCACAGATGACATTTTTCCGATTTTCTTTCTTTCTAGGATCTGTTACTGACAGCGTACACAAACATTTTTGTAACTGTTTATTGGAAAAATCTAGGATTCCCATCAGTCCCAGTATAAATGTTGGCTGTTCTCACTGGTTTAAATTGTACGGTCATAATGAAACACTGATTATAAAATAACATTTTCACTGGAAGGAGCTGAAAATAAATTGCACACCACTTTAATTCTACTTAATTTTCCAATTTATTTTTGTTTAATCAAACTACAGTAATCTGCTCACCTTGGTTTTCCCCATCAGACACACAAGCACCTGTCTCTCTCTGTCTGCTCTGACTTTATCTGTCAGCAGTTTTATTTAAAATAGCTAATTTTAGCCTGTGTGTGTGTGTGTGTGTGTGTGTGTGTGTGTGTGACTTGAGGTTACTGTCTGTGCACACATGTGACACATGCCGTGCAGTGTGTTTGTAATGTTCAATGTGAAGTTTGCCGACCTGCCGAGAATTGCATGCACCTCCAAATACTGCTTTTAAACACTATAATATTCTTTGTGGGGTTCATCAATGGTGATAAAATATTCGAAGTACATATTTTATGAACATTTAGAGCGTTTAATATTTTAATACACTTAGTAGCAGTACCATTCCTTGAGATTTTGTAAATATATGTGGTGATAACGTTTGATCAAGAAGCACAGCAAAGTGTCTGAAAAGGACCTAAAGAGGTGGATGCATAATCCAGCAGAACAGATTTTGTAGGCTACTACCTGCCGAGATTTGCATCCATTTCTTTTCTCAGCAGTGTAAGCAATTCTCGGCAGGCAGGCAGAATTCGGCATAACACCGGCAGAAAACTGGATATTTGACACAGCTCGGTCATGGGTCGGTGCCGAGTAGGCAGTGAAAATAAACGGCCTATTTCAGTCCCCAGTCCAAAACTGTTAAACAAGCTGCCAAATAAGCTCGGTAATGTTAGGTAGTAACAGAGTGGGCTCATGGAAAAATAATCGGTTATCATAACTTTTTGTCATGATTAATTTATGAATGACTCAGCATCATCTGTATTAAAGACAAAGCCATGCAGCCTGCTTAACATTACTTGAGCTCCATAACTACTGACGGATTTGAACTGGTTTTCTGCCACCGGGCTCCTGTGAAGGGAAGCAGACAGAGGACCAAACCACCGTGAGGCAAGAGAGGGGGACTCAAAATGTTTCTAAACTTAAAAAGCACTTCAATTGCCCTGTTTGCGTTTGTATTGTTTTACTATTTACACAGTTGTCTTAAGCATATATCATTATATTATTTGATGGTTTTGTTTTCCACGTATGTATCAAATCTAAAAATGGATAATTCTGTTAACACATTCAGATGGTCTACATCTCAGAAATTGGCCCCTGAATTTAATAAAGATTTCCTCTCTAAATCACTGAGGCTGTGGGGCTGTATAAATGTATAAGTTCAACCTACTCAGAGTTAACTCAGGGTTATCAAGTAAACTCAGGGTAACAAACTCTGACCAACTACACTGGAGTTAAACAGAACTATGACGGTGGATAAGATGTTGGTTAGTTGAGTTGGTGTTAATTGGAGTTGGTTTGCGTTCGCATAAAAGGGGCGTGTTCGGCTGTGCAGGCAGAGTTTTCTCAAACTGCGCATGCTCCATATTTTCCCCTGAAATGTGTAGCTTGATGGTGTCAGGATATGAGCAGTTTAAAGGCACGTTAACGGCTAAATCTAACACCGTGGCGGCCAACAAAGCCAAGGAGGCTTGTTATACCAAGCCTGCATGGAAGTAGCCATGTAGTAGTATTTTATTATCCAAAACTGGCTTCACTGCTCTCCATTCAAATCAGCGGGGTGGCTTTGTCCAGTAATATACTGTTTATGGTGGTGACTTGTGTGGACTGTGGAATGGTTTTAAGAGGTTTTTTATGCAGCAGTTGTTTAAACTCCAAATGTGTGGTCGATTTCTCAAGACAGAGCTGATTTAAAAATTGTCTACGACGTTTTCGGAGATGTGAGGTCATGCCTGCTAAGGGGTCCAATCTTCATCAAGTCCGCAGCTGTTCCAATTGCTGAATGACTGACTGCGTGCTCCCGTTCCTGGAAGTTTGTACTCCTGAGCCGAACTTGCCAAGTCAGAGCTTTAAAGTACAGAAGTCCGGACTTGGTATTGAGAAACAGCCAGTGTTCTTATAGTAGGCTGATTCTCTATTATGTATTTTATGGACTATTCTTTTATGTGTAATATGATTAAGATGTAAAGTTACACTGCTTATTATGTTCATTGCAATGGAAGAATTAAGCCAAAAAAGTCTATTCTATGAGAGAATCTTCACTTTGCAAGGCAGCAACATACCACACACACCTCTGCCGTGTATTATGCATGCAGTGAAAAGTTATATTTGACTCTGCCATAGGATTTAGCAGTGAGGAAATGAGTTTAGCCCGCAATCACTATATTATCATGCACCTTACAGACTTGGCCGTGGATTAGGCATCTTCAAAAGAAAACACCAGAGTTAATAATTAATTATGTGAAAACATTGAGGATAATTCAGTTATAGCCTACAGATGGGCTACATCTCAGAAACTGTCCGGTTATTTAATTAAAATCTCCTCTCTAAAATCACAGAGGCTGCAGGGCTAGCTGAACGTAATGCTGCTGAAGAATAATTTCATTTTAGCTGCAGTGGAACAAGTCATGATGAAATCTAAAAATATTTAATGAAGCGGTGGTAATAATATCCAACCTCTCAACATTAACACTGAGTACAGATGTGGTGTTTAGTCCAAGTGCAGGGTAACCTCGAGTTAACCACGAACAAAACCTGCTCGGAGCAGTTTAGAGATGCAGTGTAAATCACCATGGCAACAGACCTCGGGTAACACCTATGCACCTTTCGTAGTACGGGTTAATCAGAAAGTTACACCCGATGTCACAAAGTTACTCCTGAAGTTACCTGGATAAGCCAGTTACCTCGCTTTGTAGTACAGGCCACAGGCAATACAAAAGATAACACAGGAGAAGGGCCAGTGTGCACAGGAGGAACAATTCAGCCACCACCAACTCTTTCAGTGGACATATGGGCATGTCAGTGTTGTTTAGGGACAGACTGGAAAACATGTGGACCTGTCCTTTAATCCTAATCTGGCTCTAACCTTCATCATCATTCTAGGAGAACATGGACATTATAAGGACAACTGGTCAGACTGGATTTAATGAGGACAAACATCAGCAGGGAGCAACATGAGGAGGGAGACATGAACATTTAGCTCTGATTGGCCAACACTGTTTAATACTGACTGATACTTACTGTCTGTCAGACACATGTCCTCGCTTAAAATCAACGAAATCATCCATTGACCGGTCACTCTTGAAGGACATGCAGCTGGGCTCAGGTCCAGGTCCAGGTCCAGCAGAGTCTGGTCCCTGCTGCTGCTCTGGGCTTCAACACAACACACACAGAGCTTTGAGAGTGAATAATGATGGTGGAGTGATTTGAGTCCTGGACAGTTAGAGATCCTCATCTCACCTCTGAGCTTTGGTCTGGCTGTCATGTTCCCCACACAGAGTGCTTTTAGAGGGAGGGACTCCCTCCTCTCTGTCCTCACACTGACTCATGCTGCTCAACTCACATCCACTTTCACCTGGAGAGGAAACACAAATCATTCATCTGCACATCAACTCAAATCCTCCTTTCCATCATTTCTCCTGGAAAAAGATCAGCTGCTCCTCCACTGATTGGCTGCTAGTTTCTGTTTCATATCAGTGGCAGCTGAATGCAGTCAGACAGCAGCGTGAGGCAGAGGAAGCTGCCATCAGCTGCTGGACTTCTACTATCAGTCCACTAGATGGAGGCATGAAGCTGCAGCACACACACCATGCAACTTTACATTCACTCACACAAAGATATGAAACATGAAGCAAACTCTAAAAAAGCGCTACAGGAACTGTATGAGGTCATCAGGAGTCACATGATATAACAACCAGATGGTGTTTTTATTGGAGCTGGTGATTTTAATCAAACAGACCTCCAACTATTTCATATAAACTCCACCAACATGTCCACACCCTCACCAGGAGAAGTAATACCCTGGATGATGTTTATAACATTTCTTATAACAGCATAGATGTTTGGAGAGTCATTCAGACCACCACAGTATAATTTCATATCACATGTATGGAAGTATGGTGTGAGAGGAAAACCAGAAGAATCAGAATCAGCTTTATTGCCAGGTATGTGTACACATACGAGGAATTTGACTCTGGATTGTACATTGCTCATCTTTGACTAAGTCTTTGCATGTCTGGACAAAGACTGTAGTGGACTATTCTCCAGGCCATGTTTGGTGTGGAGTTGCATTGTGACCTCGTCACATGGAGTTATATATGACCAACTGTAAAAAGGGTTGGTTTAGCTTTGTTCAGTGCAGATCCTGGGGTGCACTTCTGTTATCCTCTTGGTCTGACAACACAAGTGAATAAACAGCCTGATCTAAAACTGCACTTGTGGTCTGATTGAGAATTCAAAAGAGACAAGAATGTTCCTCTTCAGGTTTGACAGGAAATGTTGTGTTTGACTTTACGCTGGTGGAGACGACGGTTTGAAAAGAACAATGCAGTTTGTTTTCTGACAGTTGAAGAAAGGAAATAAACAGCCGTTCATCAGACTGTTTGATTCCAGTAAATCAATAATCCAACAACATGCAGAGAGTTCTCACATGAGTTCTCCAAACTCTCTAATGAAATAAGAAGTGAACAAGTACTACAAACATTAGACAGCAAGAAACAAACCCTGAAGGGACTAAAGACAAACTTGGTGTCAAACTATCAAACAAAGCAACTTACAGTTTCTTCAAAGCGATGTGATGAAGAACACTCTTGAAATCAGCAGAGAAAAGATGAGCTGTTTCCTGGAATGGAAAGAAGGGCTGGAACAGGAGAACATTTTCACAATCAGTTGAGCTGGAGGATCCAAGAAAACTCTCCTAAACAGTGGTGCTGACGTAACCATGTGTGTGCTGGTGTTGATGGGACTGAGGGCATGACAAACTGACATTAGAGCATTAAAGAGTTTTGCTGTATCATCTGTTCTGCAACAAGAAATTCCTTTATCCTTGACCATTTTTTGAATAGTGTCCCGACCCCCCTGTATGTTTTCTTTTTTCCTTTGCGTGAGTGAGGGATGCGTAGTGTGTTTCTGTTCTGTGTTTTTTTGTGTTCTCTCTCTAGTGTCTCTCCTACAGCCGGACTTTGCGTTACCACTGGCAAACCCTCACCAGTGAAAGTACATCACTGTCTCCGTCCCCTGACTCCCAGTCTTTTCTCTAATAAAACTCTCCTGTTTTTGGGTCCTACAGAAAGCCTGACAGAGTGGCTATAGTCCAGTCAGAAGTTTTAGATGGAGGCTGGTTGTTGTTGAAGAGTCTTTTGATAAGGGTTGATGGAAACTTTGAAAGAGCTCGTCTTAATTCTGTTCTCATAGGAAGGCCTGATGTGGCATGATTGAGGTGTGGCCCTGCTCCTGAAACTCTGCTCAGATAGCGCCATTAAATGGAAATGGTAAATGTTAATCAGGATGCTCGTGTAATGTCAGATTAATTCATTCATTCAGAAAACCACAGATGTAAAGACCTTAAGTTCATTCTCTGCTAGCTTTTGTTCCACAAGTTTTTAGTTCTTGAAATTGTTTTTAGCAATGCTAGCAACAAGGCTCATGACACCAAACAACACTGAAAAATAAGATCATGAAGCCACAATTTTAACTTTTTTAGATGTAAAGAAAGCGACAACACGAGTCAGCTCTGCACTGAACAGAAGGGCTTCCTGTTTCCTGTCTGTGCAGTGGATGAAATATGAACCAGACCAAGAGTCAACAACCACGCTAGCATTAGCTCATAGCAGTGATGCACAAATATTCGGTTTTCACTGGCTTGCCCTGCCCAGCCTCTCTCTGTACCACATGTGATTATCAGTATACTGTAGGGGAGGGGTAGAGCAAGGGGAGACTGTCCCATTAGTCTGTGATATCGATCTATCGTACGGATAAAACAATAAGCGAAACAATACTTCCAGAGCTCCAGAGCCCAAAACATTGTGTTTGAGGCAGCCCTACTAAACACAACGTACAGCAGAGGCTGATGGTAATGTCATAGTCTTGCAAGTATTTGGTCAAAAACCAAACCTGACAATACAAACCAGGGAAAACATTATGATCTTTGCTTCCTAGAGGGTCTAACATCACAACCCGAATGTTCCTAAATTTGTCTCAGGGAAAAGAAACAGCTCGTGTGTTTTGCACAGAGAATAAAAAGGAAATCATAAATATGGTCCTAGAAAACTACGCCATAACATTACAGCAAATACAAAGAAAAATAATAGAAAACAATGACATATTTCAAAATATTGATAGGGTAAGCTTATCAACACTGGACCGTGCGCAGAAATCATCTCAGGATGAAGCAGGTCTACAGGGTGCCATTTGAACGCAATTCAGAGTCAAAGAATTGCGATATAATTATGTGAAAGTGAGTCCCACAATTGATGCATACTCTCAACACTGAATACAGTAAATTATACATTGTAATCATAATATTGTGCTTCACAATAGTGACCACTCCATGTCTATTTCTGATATTGTCATGTGTGTTTCAGAGAGTCCTTGAGCTAGAGGTGGCTGCAGTGGAGCACCAGTTCATCTTCATTGATGAGGTTGGGTTCAAGCTCACAAAAAAGACCAAAGAGGGGAAGAAATGTCATCGGCCAGCGTGCCATTGTTGAAGTCCCTGGCCAGCGCGGAGTGAACATCACAATGTGTGCAGCGATTATCCATCACCATGCTGCCCTTGGCCCCTACAACACCGCCCATCTGATCACATTCCTGGACACCCTACACAACACACTCATCAGATCAGGTAGACGGCCCAGAGCAGCTCAGGTACGTTGTCATTTGGGACAACGTAAGTTTCCACAGGGCTGCTCTGGTTCGGAACTGGTTCACTGCCCACCCACGCTTTTTAGTTGTTTATCTCCCTCCATATTCTCCATTCCTCAATCCTATTGAGGAATTGTTTTCTGCCTGGAGATGGAAAGTGTATGACCAAAATCCACAAAGGCGTATACCTCTTCTCCAAGCTATGGAGGATGCATGTGGAGATATAGCAGCTGATGCTTTTCATGGCTGGAATCGCCATGCTAGGCCATATTTCCCCCGCTGCTTGGCCAGGGAAAACATTGCTTGTGATGCGGATGAGGTGCTGTGGCCAGACCGCAACAGAAGAGAGGATGCAGCATAGTTTGTTTTTAGGTTTACTGTAACTGTGTACAGTGAATTCTTCTGTTGTTTTGTATGTGCAACTTTGTGTTGGTTGGGAATGGGATGTACACTGTGTACACTGTTTTTGTGGGACAAATAAAATATATTTGTTACCGTGTATGTGTGTGTTCTGAGTATAAAAACAATATTCTCAAATATTTTACAACACACTTGTACTTGTACACACATGTATGTACTGTTTGTAGTAAGTGTAACACTGAACAAAAAAAAATGCCTAAGTCATTATGATGAATGGAGAAGAAGTGTTTTCCATTCATCATAGTGTTTTACATTGAGCACATCAGTGTTCAGCTGGTTCTTATGAATGTCTATTCATATGATGGTTTGTGTGTCATTTGAAAACAAAATACCTTTTTGAGAAGAAATAACATTGTTTTGAATGTAAAGTTTCATTTTGCAGGAGAATTGTGTGTGTGTTTTTTTATTTGTGTGTAGAGTTCTGAGAATATGAAGCATTCTTTCAGAAAATGTGTGTAAACAATCGAGAAAAACTGTAAAATCTAAGTTGTTTCCTGCTGCTGATTCAGATTGAATTACAAATGAAATCCTTTTGGCCAAAAAGTCACAGATCATAGAATAATTACTGAACAAATTCATGAATATTCAGATCTACAAACAATAAATAAGAGACTTTCTTCATCAAAGGTGTGCCATGTTACCTGTCAGGTTGTCACGTCTCAAGTCTCCTATTTGGTCTTAGTTATGTTAACAGGCTGTGTTAATTGTACGTCTGAACCACCAAAGACCCACAAACAACTTCTCATTCAACTCTTCTTTCAGTAGAAATATTCAGAAATTACTCTTGGAACTACTGATGCTTTACATGGATTAACAGTGCTTTGTTATTGGACAGAGTTGCTGCGTCTTCTCATTGTTCAGGAAAAATAAGAGTAGGAAGCATCCTACCCAGCTACTCCACTTCTAACCAAAAAATAGCCTCATAGAGCTGATGGGAGTTTTTTTTTTTCACTTTAAAGTTCTGTGTTTTATTTTGAAGGCCAAACACTCAAGAAGGAAGTCTTGATGTTTTATAGTTTTTTTTTATAGACAAAATAGCATTCAAAACTCTCTTAGGGGAAGAATATATATATATATCTCCCAATAAGTACAATCCAATCACTGTGTGTGTAAATGAAAGCAGGAGTCCTACGAACAACACATTTCTACTCTACAGCAGCTGGCAGCAGAGACCTGAAAACTGGTTTTCCTGCATTCCACCACTAATGACAAGGTTTGTTGGCACCACTTCAGTTTCGACTTTAGTTGTTGTTTTTACAGTGACAGCGACTCAAAGGAAACAAGCAAACATTCAAAATGGCTCCTCTCCTGCTGAGCTACTCTTTAATATTCTGAACAGAAAACTCAGAGACTAAATCTCTCAACTCTCTACTAAAAACATTTTAAATTCTTGCAAGAGAATGCTGCATTAACAACTTTGAGATTTACTGTCTTTTGTCTTTGAAATGTAAACATTTCTTATTACGTACATAGAATTATTAAATTTACTTCCAAAATAAGTGTCAGATTTCCCATCTAAGGTCTTTTTTTTCTCTCAAAACTCTGAACACAAATCCACAAATTCCCCAAACATCCTATTTTCAGGTCAAAATGAAGCTTTACACTCAAAACCATTCAATCTTACTGAAAAAACAAACTTTGCCCTCAGACATGACACACAAGCCCTCAGAAACACACACACTACACAGTCTGACACATTGGTGAGATCAATTCAAAACAATACTACAGAAACCTTTTCACATGAGGAACACAACAAAAGAAATAACCAATGTAAACATGTGACCATTTTTTTATTCCTCAGTGTACTGAACAGTTCAACCTACCAAACAACTAATTATTGTGCCCCAGCGTCCTGTCGTCTGGGACAGGCCAGAGATTCTCATCCTCCACCTCCCTCAACCCCTCCTCCTGCTCCCTATACCTCTGCCTTCCTCCCGCTCTGCCTCTACCACTTCCTCATCTTCCTCCTATCCCATCTCCTCCTCCAACTCCTCCTCCTCCTCCTCTATCGTGTCCTACACCTTTTCCTTCAGATTTCTCTGGATCCATTGTTCTAAAACTGAATGAACTGACTCTGGACCTTCTTTCTTTCTATTGAAGCTTCTGATTGGTGTGTTATCAATTTGGACTGTTTGTGTTACCACCTGGGTTTGCTGTGAGCTAACTGAGCTCAACCTGTGCTGATTGAGTGAAATGAAGGGATTTGTGTGTAGAATTTAGAGAAATGGGTGTGCTTTTTGAAAAAAAAGAAATTTCAGTTCAAAAGCCTAGTTATAGTGTTTAAGCAATGGAGAAAAAACTGTAAACCAAAAAACAAAGCTTTTTGAAAAGAAGACAAACTGCTTAGCTGAGTTTATCTTGAGTGAACCACAGAAATGCTTCAAATTAATATTAAGAAATATTGACTGCCCCCGCGGCCCTTGACAATAGATGCATGGAATCCTGACTGCATGAACACAAGGACGGCAAATACTGACAGAAAAGCTAAACAGAAGAAATTTCACCCAGTGTGAGACGGGAGTTGTTGATGAGAGGTTGAAGCAGTGTTTGTACACCAGAGAAAGTGGACGCTGAAGCTCAACCATCTTGATAAGTCCTATAAACACTATAGGAGACACCATTGACTAAATGAATGAGGTTGGCAAAGAAACAAAAGTGTTTAACATCACATAAGCTGCGTAACAAGTTGTTCTTATTATTGTGGCTAAATTTCACTGCCTGTCCTAAAGCCACTCCTCTTTATATGGACAGTGAGACAATCACAGAGGAAAAAATGAGCCAAACTAATTTAAATCTTCAAAGAGCCTGGATTGCCATTACAAAAAACAACATGAGACTCACTCAGCTTGTTCCTGTGGATGTCCGTCAGATCAGCAGCTTGATGGCGTCTCGTCCAAGTCCGTCTGTAAAAACAGAGACCTGCTCATTAATATCACGGTTACTCCGCCAATAATCAGCCCTGTAAACTGAAGCTGCTGTCTCTCCATCAGAACTGGTTTTATCAAAGTATGCAGTCTGACTGGTCTGCACATTATGCCACTGGTGCTGGAAAGCAGCCTGCATCACTCTTTCACAACCCGGCAGAAAATCTTTCACTTTTCATTTACAGCTTATTAAACTTGGCTGCTATTTGTTTTACATGTCAGACGGTGAATTCATTAAACAAAATGTCGCCTGTGAAACTGATCTTGGCTTTTACGCAGCAGCTGTTATTTATTCAGGAAACATACTTTTTGAGAAGCACAGGGAGAAAGTAAGAATGGGTGGATTAAACACAGGTTTCTCTCTAATATGTAGACTTACTCTACTTAGTTCAATAGGCTGGTCCTGAGTGATCTTATCAATACCATCATGTAGATAAGAGTTGAATATTTGTGTTAAACAAAAATAAGTAAACTATAGATGATCAACATGCAGAGCAAAGTGCATTCCCTACCTGATGCACAGCCATGAACCAATTATTATTCCAAAGAGAGACTTAAGCAGCATAAACTTGTGAAGATCTCTGGCCTGCACACATTGAACAATATTAAAACACAAAGAACTGTACTGTTAACTTTTACTTTTCTTGGTGGTATTTCTACTTCAGTAAAGGATATGGGGTTTTATACCCCACCATAGTCAGTTCTTAAGAAAGAGATACAGGGCTTTGCTCACTTTTATTTTGAAAATCAGCAAAGAAGTGGCACAAAGTCAGGTGTAGGCTAGCATGTTAACTTTTTCTGTTGCCTACCACATCCGAAAGAATAAGATACAATCTGAGTTAGTTAACCACCAGAGGCTGTGGGCTCTTCTCATGTCCCTATTTTGTACCTCCTCGACCCTCTGTCTTCCTTCCCGTGACCCGAAAATCGTTCTCAGTGCACCATCTGGAAGGACGGCTCAATTCCTAAAATGCACCTGAAGGAGCGAGGATGTTTGCCAGAGCTATACTCGAGGCAGGGATGGTACTGGCACTGAAATTCAGCCCGGGAGGGAGAGGCCTTTTATACGTGCACACTTTTCGGTGGGCGGGCATAAATATTTTTTGCAGCTCATTTCCCCATCAATGAGCTGCAGAGGAGATTCCTGTGCTTCTCATTCAGGGGAATCCATTTAACACATTCCCTGATGACTATAACCTTTGAAATAGCCGTCGGGGAATGTGCCATTGGATTCCTCGGAATCTCTTCATAACAACTTTGCTGAAGAGGATAATACAAACTCACAAAAGAAGAAAAAAATGTTGTTGAGAGCCAGAGTCAAACACACAGATGTGCCCTACCAACTGAGCTAACCAGTAACACAGACATTTACTCTGAAATTATCTTAAAGAAACGCACCCCTGTATTCAGCTATGGTTTGTTATCTCGACATCAAAACATAATTTTCCCGTTATAATGGGAAAATGGAGTAAAAAATATATATTTTATTGTATGGCCTCTTAGAGCTTCCGTAACAGTGAGAAGAATGATCAAATTATTAAAATGCAGTAATTATTTTGGTAAAAACATTCTGTCCATATTTCAATGTAAACAAGTATCTGCAGCTGAACTGGACATTGATGTCTGAACACAGATTTTGGCACCAAATAAAAATCTTAACTCAAGGTCCACTCACTGGATGGATTTGGAACAGTTAGATGTGTTTAAAAGTGAGTAAGTCGACCTTGAGTAAAGATTTGTTGATGTCAGACTTCTGTTTCAAAGGTTTCATCACATTAACAACAAGTATGAGTTCTCAAGAACTACAGCTGACACGAGGTTTCAACAGCCTGCTGATGGCTGAGACTCATGGGAGATGTAGTCATTAAAAGAACTTTTGTTTCTTGTTGTAAAAGATGTTTTATAGAAATAGTTAGAAGCTTCGCCCAATAATAAACCTATTGAATCTAATTTTTAAAAAAGATTCAAAGAGTTAATTTAATTATGGCATCTATAGATCAACATTTTCTCATAATACCATTAATTTTAGCTGTTTCCACATCTGAATATTTCTGTTCACTCTCTTCGTCCATGATAAAGTTATAAAGTGCAGCTTGTTGCTTTTGCCTTCTAGAGTTAATCCTAATCCAATCACAAACTTTAAATCTTTTATTTTTAACTTAATATCACACAGTTTTGACTGACTATCCCCTACAATAGAATCTACATGTGAAAACTTCGACTTATTCTTCTCATAAGTTGAATTTCTATCGTAATTTTACTCAATAAGTAGATATTTTGACGGAGTTGACTTTTGAGTTTCACAATTCTGACTGAATTAGAATTTTCTGTTTTACTTACTGCTGGTTAGGATTGTTTATTTCCTGTTGAAGGTTTCATACATTTCAGTGGACGATATAAAAACAACACAAGGAGATCCGGTCTGGAGTTTCAAAATAAAAGCCACAGAGACTCACTCAACGTCCAACTTTAATTTCAGAACAAAAAATGTAGGAATAATATTCATTTTTATTTTGTTTTAATACACATTTTCCCACTTCGTTGAACAACTCCCAACAGGCTTTTACAGAACATGACATGCGTTCATTACAACATGACTGATACAAACACTGATAAAACGTAAGAAGGAATTAAAGCTGCAAGCAGCGTTGGGCGGGCCCTCGCACTTGTAAGCGCGTCCGCGTGTGAGCTGGCCGAGTTGCACATTCTGGAGTTCTGCCGGTGCGGCTGTGAATTTCCTACGCGGTTCCGACGCCGCATGAATGTGCTATATGTCACTTCCTGTGTCCCCTATGTGGAGCTACATAGCACTTGCCGCTATGAATATAAATCGGTATTGGCGTGTAGATGTCTGCGGGGTGGGAGAGTTATCAAGCACGTAAAGTTTGTTTCAGATGTGAGCATGTACACTGAACAATAATGTACACAAACAATAAAATAAATTCCTTTTATATTTCCCTGCCTTGTTGTTTATGTGTACATACAGAGGAAGAATGTGAGAACAACACACATTTCATCGTACTGTGTGTTAGAGCATGGGAGAACAGTGCATACTTTTAATACAGCCCACACCCCTAATACTGTGTAACTATAACAAGTAGAGAACAGAAGAAAAAGATGTTCTTTCTTTACAACTGTCTGCATAGCTTATTCATATTGTATAATGAATGAAAATAAATAGGCCTACTAGGCTCCTCTCTACTTTGACATTTAAGATTAGCTCTTTTGATCCACCTTCATACACATGTGACATTACTGTACAACTTGAGAAAGGTGAGTTGTTTTCTGCTCCAGCCTGCCTAAAAGAAAAGCGTTTTTGGGATTAAATGGACTTTATTAGCTGCTGCAGTGCAGGATGAACTCAGAACAGACCCATTTCTCACCTTATTATTCTAAACCATGCAACGAAGAAGAAGAAATGCATAATAAATCCTGGGACAAAATCTGTCCACAAATACTGTACAGCATGTAGTCTGATGAACAAGACTTGTGTTATAGCTGACTTGGGCAGTGAAATGTTTAATTTTTTTAATTCATGTGGTCATAGTTGTCCACAACTCAAATCAGAATATATGAAGAAATGTTTTATACCACCTCAAGAAGGCTTCCTATCAGAAAGGTAGGAAGGTATTTCAAATGTACAACTGCAGTCCTGAAATCTAAGTAAAGTAATTTCCCTGACATTTTTGTGTTACTTTACTTTTAATAGACGCATGTAACAGGTTTTATACTTCCTGTGAGTATAATCCAATCAATCTTATTTTCATACTGTATATCCGATGTGTAATTTGATAAATTGTGTTGTATGTCAGAGAAGACTCTGACTGCAACATGCGTCTTTGTAAAGAGAGAAACGGACAGAAAAAGTCTCTAACTCTGCCTGTCAGCTCGCTCTGCTCCATTAAAACTGAATTTACCATACAGAATTGAATACGAGTGCACTCCAGATTTAGCTGCAGCCAGCTGACCGTGTGCTTCTCCCTTTACCGCAGTTCTGTGTCCATGCATGCAGCAAACTGAAAGCACTGTCTGTCGGAGCGTCTACGTGAAAAGAGAAGGAAGAAATTGCTGGTAGTGTCTTCAGAGTTGTTAAACACCTCAGCGCACTGAAGGAAGCCATCTGACTGTGTGAGGGGCAAGATCGTTGATGTCTGCAGGTAGAGTAGGAGCTCTCCTGTCTGACTGGTCCACCAATAGCAGAGAAGATGACCCCTTGAGACACAGCCCCTCCTCATTTGCATAATGAGACAGAAATTTAAAAAGGACAGGCAGAAATAAATACCATGGGTGAAAATAAATAAGGTAGAAAAATACAAAGGAAGAATAAAACAGACAAAAATATTAAAACACACATAAATAAATACATTAAAAAATTAGTAATAATAAAGTTGAAGATTATAACAGAGAATAAATAAATAAGGTAATTATAACAAAGGTGAATAAGTAAAGGAACTAATTAAAATATATACATTTATGTCTCCTTGTATAATTTAATTACTGCCAACATTTATTTATTTACTTTATTTTTTTGTGTATTTAATTGGAAGCTTATTTGTTTATTGAGCATTTATTTATTTCTGTATTTATTTCTGACTGTGTCAGGATCGGTCCTCCATAGTGGGGTGGGAGAGTTATCAAGCACGTAAAGTTTGGTTCAGATGTGAGCATGTACACTGAAGTTACAACAACTTCATGTGTCATGGCGAAGACTTGATCTCTGACGCCACGCCACGGACACACCCATTGACGAAAACTCGCAAATAGCACAACTTTTCATCTTCAATGCCATTAGAAGGCACAGCAGAAATTTGAGGTCGGTCGGACTAAATCCCTAGGAGGAGTTCGTTAAAGTACGAAGTGTGTAAATCATCCAAAATTTGACGTAAAATTCAAAATGGCCGACTTCCTGTTGGGTTTAGGCTATGGCTCCAAGAGACTTTTTTGTGCGTCTGGACAAGATACACGTACCACAGAAAATTCGTGCACGTAGGTGAAACGTGCGGCGGGGGCTGCTTCGTTAAAAGTCACTTCCTGTTGCCAGCAGGTGGCGCTATGACTGTGGGTGAATGTCAGCATTACATGTGTTCAGGGCGGGACTCTCATCCTAGATGTACAGTTTGGTCCAGATGTGAGCATGTACACTGAAGTTACGACAACTTCCGTGTCATGGCGAAGAGTTGATCTTTGACGCCACGCCACGGACACGCCCATTGACGAAAACTTGCAAATAGCACAACTTTTCATCTTCAATGCCTTTAGAAGGCACAGCTGAAATTTGAGGTCGGTCGGACTAAATCCCTAGGAGGAGTTCGTTAAAGTACGAAGTGTGTAAATCATCCAAAATTTGACGTAAAATTCAAAATGGCCGACTTCCTGTTGGGTTTAGGCTATGGCTCCAAGAGACTTTTTTGTGCGTCTGGACAAGATACACGTACCACAGAAAATTCGTGCACGTAGGTGAAACGTGCGGCGGGGGCTGCTTCGTTAAAAGTCACTTCCTGTTGCCAGCAGGTGGCGCTATGACTGTGGGTGAATGTCAGCATGTACATGTGTTCAGGGCGGGACTCTCATCCTAGATGTACAGTTTGGTCCAGATGTGAGCATGTACACTGAAGTTACGACAACTTCCGTGTCATGGCGAAGAGTTGATCTTTGACGCCACGCCACGGACACGCCCATTGACGAAAACTTGCAAATAGCACAACTTTTCATCTTCAATGCCTTTAGAAGGCACAGCAAACATTTGAGGTCGGTCGGACTAAATCCCTAGGAGGAGTTCGTTAAAGTACGAAGTGTGTAAATCATCCAAAATTTGACGTAAAATTCAAAATGGCCGACTTCGTGTTGGGTTTAGGCTATGGCTCCAAGAGACTTTTTTGTGCGTCTGGACAAGATACACGTACCACAGAAAATTCGTGCACGTAGGTGAAACGTGCGGCGGGGGCTGCTTCGTTAAAGGTCACTTTCTATTGCCAGCAGGTGGCGCTATGACTGTGGGTGAATGTCGGCATGTACATGTGTTCAGGGCGGGACTCTCATCCTAGATGTACAGTTTGGTCCAGATGTGAGCATGTACACTGAAGTTACAACAACTTCCTGTTTCATAGCGAATCATCGACGCCACGGACACGCCCATTGACGAAAACTCGCAAATAGCACAACTTTTCATCGTCAATGCCTTTAGAAGGCACAGCAGAAATTTGACGTCGATCCGACTAAATCCCTAGGAGGAGTTCGTTAAAGTACGAAGTGTGTAAATCATCCAAAAATGGCCATAAAATTCAAAATGGCCGACTTCCTGTTGACTTTAGGCTATGGGTTCTTGAGGCTTTTTTTGTGCGTCTTGACATGATACATGTCCCCAGAAAATTTCGTAGATGTAGGTTGAACGTGAACGAGGGGCTAATTTTTTCCAATTTTCTAGGTGGCGCTAGCGAGTCATTTTGCAACGCCCATGTGCGAAACTTGTAGAATACAAAATTTTTCACCGGTTCTGACATGTTTGCAAATTTTGGTGAGTTTTCGAGTATGTTTAGGCCATGTCATTTGGGCCTACTTTGCAGAAAAAAAAAAAAAAAAAAAAAAAAAAAAAAAAAAAAATAATCCGAGCAAATTCAATAGGGACCTCGCACGGTCGTGCTCGGGCCCTAATTACTTAAAGGTTCACTGTGTAAGTTTTAGTGACATCTAGTTGTGAGGGTTGTGAATTGCATTGCTGCAGAGGTCAAAGGGGTGGGGGGGTCAGCCTGTCAGCGCTCAGACCATACGCTGCACACTGCATCAAATTGGTCTGCACGGCTGTCGTCCCAGAAGGAAGCCTCTTCTAAAGATGATGCACAAGAGAGCATGCAAACAGTTTGCTGAATACAAGCAGACTAAGGACTAAGGATGCACTGAATGTTCGCCCCCCGTAATTAATCGGACGAAAATAGCATAAATACCACTTTCGGTTTTCGGCCTAATAAGTCAAAAGACTGATTAAACCGTACCAAACAATTACGTTACACAGGCTGAAGAGAGGCTGTGAACTCTTCATTTACACTGTACGAGAACCAAGAATTTTCATTTCGATGCATCACTACTAAGGACATTGATTACTGGAACCATGTCCTGTCTGATGAGACCAAGATAAACTTATTTGGTTCAGATGGTGTCAGACCAGACCATGACACTCCCACCGCCATGCTTGACTGTAGGCAAGACCCTCTTGTCTTTGTTCTCCTCCCCTGGTTGCCGCCACACACGGTCGACACCCACCTGAACCAAATTAGTTTATCTGTGTCTCCAATTTGGACATTTTCACTTAGGGGTGTACTCACTTTTGTTGCCAGCGGTTTAGACACTAATAGCTGTGTGATGTGTTATTTTCAGGGGACAGCAAATGGTAGCAAAGTGTCATTTCTTCGTGTTATAAACATGAAAAGATATAATCAAATATTTACAACAATGACATACTGTATATAGTGTGGTGTTCAATATACTGTATGTGCATAGTTAAAATCAATTTTCTGCCACCACACGTAAGTTAACGTAGTTACTGTTCAAGATTTTATCTGATATCAGTCTCTGAAACAGTTTACCCCTAGTTTCCCTCATCTCAAGCTTAACAAATTTAGAGTTTTCAAAATATTTCTGAAACAGGGCCCTGTTGTGACCAGGTAGGCAGACAACAGTCGGAGAACGCACATATTTATTTCAATTTTAAAACACTTTCTTTGCAGAGGCCTGTAGACTAGTACAGTTATAAAATAGAGAAACATTTACCATAATAAGCATACATAATAAATAAATAAATAAATAAAACACACATATAACATCATAGTCATCGTAGTCCAGTGCAGCTTTACTAATTGGGATGAGTACATTGTCAGTCATACAGTGCAAACGTAATTCATGTATAGAAGTTTTATTATGTGTGTATAGTCATGGGATGATGAAGCTCTCTACCTAACATACAGAAGAGGTCCAATGTCAATAAACATTTATAGATCACCATTTGCTTGGTTATAAATAGTATTTGTTAAATTCATTTTGAAAACCTGTACTGCTAAAACACGTTTGTCCTTTTTTTCTGCTAATACTCACATTTCTACGAGGTTGGAAACTACAGACATGGAATTTAAATATAAAAATGAGTCGACGTGTTTCTCTCTCTCTCTCATAAACACCACTGCACAAATCTGTCCAACACAATGCTCGCAATGTCATAGACCCAGCTTTAGAAAAGTTATTAGAACATCTGGCTCGTGATGTAGCCTACAGAACATTCTCTACTGAGTTATTGCCTGGGGGCTGTTGCTTTATTATTCTAAATAGACATTACATTGTTAGTGTAAAGTTGTGGTTATAGTCCTTGATTTTGATTTACTTTTATTTTATATAGTTCCAAAGCAAAAATCTTTTAAAGTTAGTGTAAACCAGTGAATTATAGGATGGTTTACCCCTGGCGTTGTGGTTAATGGGAACGTTAGCCAGTTAGGCTGTGTTGGAGAACAGTAATTCACTTGAAAGATATTTAATTTGTTAAATGGTTTAATTAGAGTTAGGGGGTGACAAAAATAATCGTGACTAGTCGACTAATCGAATAAATAATTAACAGATTAGTCGACTACGAATATAGTCATTAGTTGCAGCCCTACATTTAGTGAGATGAGAAATGAGTTCTTGTGATATTCTTCTGGCAGCTCAGATGATCCCCAGTGTTTACTTTAATGTCAGATCCTATTTACGCTGGGAAGAGGGTAGTTCATCCAAAAGTTGGCCGCAGTATTTATAGCCTACGCGGGTTTGGTGAGCTCAATTTGGCTGTGAGGGTGACTCCGACAAGAGTTCACGCTGTGACGGAGTGGAAGTGGCAAGCGTCTAGTTTTAGTGAAGGCACTAGCTCTGCCTTGTGGTCAAGAAGACATAATACCACTTGCAATTACTTTGAATAACTTTGTACTAAGTTCAGTGATTAATTTATTACAATAACTTGAAAGATTTCTGTAACTGTGATCCTGTAAAGATTCAACTGTGATCTGTTCAGCAATGAGAATATTTTTCTAACAGGAGGAGACTGTCCCTCCTACAGCGAACACAAGGACACTGAGGCACCATAACAGAACCCAAAGCCAGGATAAAGAGGTTCAGCGAATGTGGTGTTGAAGGTGTGGAGGTGGATCAGTGTGTCAGAGGAGACGCTATAAAAGGACAGAGTGCCAGCAGGACAGTCCACATACACTGCTACTCTGTTAGAGACAGAGGAGGAGATGGATCTTCCTATCTTATTGTGACAGACAGAGTAACCATCATCAGAGCAGAAAAGTGTCCAGGACTGACTGTTCCATCCAAACCTGCAGTCTTTAGTGTTTCCTCTCCTCCTGATTCCTCCGTAACTCACTGATATATCAACTCCTCCACTCCACTCAACCTCCCAGGAACAGCGACCAGTGAGGCCATCTCTACACAGCAGCTGAGGCCAGTAGTCAAATCTGTCTGGATGATCAGGAAATGGCTGAACCTCGTCCACACGTGTCACCGTCCTGTTGTTGTCAGACAGTTGGATCTTTCGGTTTACTGTGTCTGTGTCAAATGTGAGTTCACAGGAATCTGATGGAGAGAACGAGACAACACAGCAGTAGTTATTGATCTATCATCTGTTCAGTGATTGACACATTGATGATGACATTAGAGCTTTGAAATAGTGATGTCATAGTCTGAAGATGGTTGAATGTGTGCTGCTTTGTTCAAGAATCAAATGAAAAACACACTTACACTTCCTCAGACCTGGTGTCAACCATTGGACTCCACCAGGCTCCATCCTGAAAGGAAGAGGGGGATCAGTCCAGAACATCCTCTTTAACCATGAAACATGAATATTACATTCCTCTTATACACATGTACACAATACGTGCATCTGGCCTCCTCCTCCTTGCTCTCCTCCAAACCTATTCATCTGTTCACTCTCCTCATATACTGAGAACAACCGACAGAATATTGGTGTGTTTGAAAGAGGAGGACAACATCTGATAACACATACAAACCTTTTTTTGGATCATCCATTCACCATTATGAGTCCCACTACAAACCTGCCAGATAACCAAGTGACAGAGACTCCAAGACTGGTTCCCCCCCATAACATCACAAGTTTCAGAAAACCTTTTTCTGATAGAAACAGTACCATTTCATCCGTTGGAATTCTTTGTGCAAGTTCATGTTACTATGGTTTGTTGCTGAATTTATTTCTCTAATGTATATTACAGCAGTAAAATTTCTGTCAGGATCACTTCTGTTTCTACTGTACTGCACACGTCCTGTTTGATCACATTGACATTTAAAGCAGAAATAATGAGTTTATGGAAAAATGCTTGGAGATTTAAGTTTACCATAAAGAGCAATGAGAAACAGCGACTCATAGCAGAAGGATTAAACGGTTTGAAATGGATAGGCTTCTCTTGTATAAAATAAGCATTCTAGGCCAATGAAACAATATATTTTTTTATTCTCTGGAGGTGCACAAAAAAACCCTTCTAAGTTAATTTGCAGTGCACACAAAAAGAACCATTATTTAGGATAATAAACAGAGATTTCTGTTTATGTAAAAGAACATCTCAAAAATGTTGTACAGGTTGTTCAGGAATCATATTAATTAATACTTGCATGCAGTGCAATTTATTCTCATAAATAAGGTGAACATGAGGACAAAGTCCATTATAACTGATACTGGTTTTGATACCTCAGTCATGCGAATATGAGTACATATATTGTTATCAGATGTTCGTTTCCTTATGGTATTTGAGCCATATGCTGTGTGCTAGTTTGTGGATGTAATGTGTTGCTTGTAAAAATGGTATGGAAAAATATAACCGGGGTAGGGGAGCAACGGATTGCATGTAACAGCGTTAAATAATGAGGATACTTACCAAAGTCCAGCCCAAAGGGAGTTCCCATCTCCCACAGAAAGCTCTGCTCTGAAAACAGCTGGTTTGTAGTCCAGCCCTTCACTTCCTTTACTTGTGACGTCACAATGAAAACGCGTCATAAAGCTTGCCAAGCGGCTAGCGTGGTCAGGCACGCCCTCAAACCAGGCTAGTCTGATTAGAGGCCCTTTGGCTCAACTCGCCTTTGTTTGGTTTTCCATTGTAGAAATGTTGTACCTGCTTCCAGGTACTTTTTTTCATATCACCTCACCGCTAGCAAGGTTCCAAGCGAGCTGAGGCGATACTAAAATGTAACGTGAAAACATGACAGAATGTTGACTGGTCAGAGAGAATACTCACTATTAATAATAATAATAATAATAAATAATAATAATAATAATCTCAACAGAAAGTTATCCAGTTTTCAAATGGAATTTCATCAGTAAATCCAATTTTGAGAAGTTTTGGAAGTGAGAAATCAGCTGTGTAGATTTCGAATATTGACAGTTTTACAAGAAGTGATGGCAGAACAAAAATGTTTGAATATTGTCGGAGTTGAGGAGCTCTTCAAGTGGCTGCAGGGGAAGCCTGTGCCCACCCACGAGAGAAGCGTGTGAGGCCGGCCAGCCGCCCGCTCACAGAGCCCTCTGCTCCCGCCGTCACAGGCCGCTGCATTATTGAAACGTTTTAAGCGTAGATATATTTTAAGAGCTGGTGTGTGTCGCATTGAACGTTACGTCGCGGCAATTGTGTGTGGCATTGCTATGACGACAATCTAAGTCTCTGGGTACTATCAGCAATGGAAAACGGAGCAGGGCCGAGTAGAGTCCAGTCTATCGATTTGCCCTATGGTAGCATTTTTCGGCAAGGCAGCATAGATCGTCAGAACACCGGCAACAGTTCAACGTTTAGTCCTGATGGTAAGATGTGGAACAATGATGTTGTGTGCTTGTGGACTTGAGGGTAACTTATGTGCAACTCCCAACAAAGATTTTGTACAAGTAAGATGCATCACTCTGTAGCTCAAGAGCGGAGCGAACACATAGGGTGAAAAGAGAGAGTGAAAGTGAAAAAAGTTGAAAAAAGTGAAAAAACACTATGCTTCAACAGCTCATAGAGAAATCTTTTCATTGGACGCTAAATGAATGCAACAAAGTCAGAATGAGTCATCAACAACTTAAAATGGTTTTCCAAATGTCATCAAGAGCTACCTACAGAACAATGTTTTTTGTCATTGATGGGTGAGATACTGCCATAGTGGTGATATAGTGCAAAACATATATAAAAACATTTAAATATGGATTTTGGGAATAGGAGATTTTTTTATTCTATGTTTCACTAATAATACACTGAGCAGGCAATGCATCATTAATACTTCTCATTTGCCAATTTGGCATTGAAATAATCCAAAAGTAACTAAAAGTAATCAGATTACTTTACTTTTACTTTGTGGTACTTTGATTATGTTATGGATTATATTTTTAAATAAGTAATTAGTAATTGCACTGGATTACATTTTCTAAATAAACCTCCCCTATTTATGGAGTAAATGTTTTAGTGTACCGCTTATATTGTATAAAACAGGTCATATTAGTGGAGTGTAGCCTAAATAAATGTTTAAACACAAGTGGAATGCATTTGGTTGACTCTTTTTTCAAGGAGAAAAATCTAAAATTATGTACCAGTGTGTCTTACATACAGTATCTCACAAAAGTGAGTACACCCCTCACATTTTTGTAAATATTTGATTATATCTTTTCATGTGACAGCACTGAATAAATGACACTTTGCTACAATGTAAAGTAGTGAGTGTCCAGCTTGTACAACAGTTTAAATTTGCTGTCCCATCAAAATAACACATCACATAGCAGTCCATTGTCATCTGAGGGCATCCAATACCAACGCCTTTGGAAAAAGTGACAAAACGTAGTTATTTGACGCTAAAGGGTGTGATGCGCACCCATTCACACCTGTGACCTTGTAACACTAACAAGTCACAAGACACCGGGGAGGGAAATTGGCTTATTCACTTTTATTGCCAGTGGTTTAAACATTAATGGCTGTGTGATGTTTTATTTTGAGGGGACAGCAAATTTACACTGTTATACAAGTTATACAAGCTCACTACTTTACATTATAGTGTATATTCTTCTGTGTTGTCACATGAAAAGATATAATCAAATATTTACAAAATGTGAGGGGTGTACTTTTTTAGCCTCTGTCAGAATTTGCTTTCCTTATCTTTATGCAATCAGTACATATTAATGAGGGGCATTTCCCTGACCATTTATAGGCATAGACTAGGGGTGGGAATCTCTTGGCACCTCATGATTCAATTACAATTCAGAGGGCTGTGATGCGATATTATTATTATAAAAAATGATTATTGATGCATCTTGATGCATAATCTCTGGATAATTAGCATTGAATTTGCACATTAAAATCCAAAAGAAACATCTCCTAACAAGCTTAAAAGGACCAGTTTGCATCCTAATTTACTTCATTAATCTAAGCGCCATGGTCCTTCTTTTCTTTAACAGTTTTCAGACTCTAAAATACTAAAACTAAAATATAAATTTGATTCAGGATGTACAGTATGTATACAGGACAAAGCTGTACACCAGTTTAGTCAAAGCTTGTAATTGATGTTCTCAACCCTAGACAAGGAGGTAAGTTAGTAATGACATACAGCTGAGCTAATTAATATTACTTCGTTACTGATTTAGGTGACTTTACATAACAGCCAAAAAACGTGTTGTAACTTTACAGGGGGGATGTTAGCTAGTGCCTTCACTTACAAACTACAGACTTATTAAGGGACACACTGTGACCTACACTGCGCGTTTATTGCCAGACTGGAACTAAATGCTAATATTTCTTTGCTAACTTTCACCGTCATGTCCTGCCGCTTGCTCTCTCTCTCATTTGCTCAGCAACACTCTCAGGATACACAGAGAGATCGCCAAGCGTTGAGTTTTACCATGCTCGCAATGTGTGAGTTAAAATCATTACTTGTGCACTGACATTAATGATTGTGTGACATTTTAGTAGGGTGGTTATTCATACCGCAGAGGTGGTGTGCTGAATACAAGGGAACACTGGTTTCTCGGTTATGTGCACGCCACAGATGGTCCGGGCGTTGCACTTCCACGAGTTTCACCTTTTGCGTTTCGTCAACATCATCAATCAAGTAACATTTTAATATTTAAAAACTAAAATATTTTTGTGCACACGCACTTCCTGTGTTTTGTCCGTACACAACCTTTAGGAGTCCTTTCCTACATACAGTTCTATAAGACCCCTGCTCTATCAGACTGACTGACTGTGGATGCAGTAGGCCACTTCATACCGTAGACTCCAGTGTGTATCATCCAGTCCAGCAGCCAGCAGCTGACTCACACCCGAGTCTCCTGGATCATTGTAGCTCAGGTCCAGCTCTCTCAGATGGGAGGGGTTTGAGCTCAGAGCTGAGGCCAGAGAAGCACAGCCTTTCTCTGTGATCAGACAGCCTGACAGCCTGTAAACACACAAAAGAACACGTGGCAGATCATCTGAGGGTCCTGCAAGTGGCGGTTCTTTACCAATTTTATTGAGGGGGCCAGGCTGGGGCCAGTTGTTTCATCAGAAGGGTACATTCAATCTGGGACAAAAGAGACAAAGACAAAGTTCAAGCTTTTGAAATGTCTTGATAACTATATAAGTACCGGTGCTGGTCATATAATTAGAATATCATCAAAAAGTTTGATTTATTTCAGTTATTCCATTCAAAAAGTTAAACTTGTATAATGTATACATTCATTCCACACAGACTGATATATTTCAAGTGTTCTTTCCTCTTAATTCTGATGATTATAACTAATGAAAACCCCAAAATCAGTATCTCAGAAAATTTGAATATTGTGAAAAGGTTAAATATTGAAGACACCTGGTTCCACACTCTAATCAGCTAATTAACTCAAAACACCTGTAAAGGCCTTTAAATGGTCTCTCAGTCTAGTTCTTTAGGCAATACAATCATGGGGAAGACGGCTGACTTGACAACTGTCCAAAAGGCAACTACTGACACCTTGCACAAGGAGGGCAAGACACAAAAGGTCATTGCTAAAGAGGCTGGCTGTTCACAGAGCTCTGTGTCCAAGCACATTAATAGAGAGGCGAAGGGAAGGAAAAGATGTGGTAGAGAAAAGTGTACAAGCAATAGTGATAACCGCACCCTGGAGAGGATTGTGAAACAAAACCCATTCAAAAATGTGGGGGAGATCACAAAGAGTGGACTGCAGCTGGAGTCAGTGCTTCAAGAACCACCACACACAGACGTATGCAAGACATGGGTTTCAGCTGTCGCATTCCTTGTGTCAAGCCACTCTTGAACAAGATACAGCGTCAGAAGCGTCTCGCCTGGGCTAAAGACAAAAGGACTAGACTGCTGCTGAGTGGTCCAAAGTTTTGTTCTCTGATGAAAGTAAATGTTGCATTTCCTTTGGAAATCAAGGTCCCAGAGTCTGGAGGAAGAGAGGAGAGGCACAGGATCCACGTTGCTTGAAGTCCAGTGTAAAGTTTCCACAGTCAGTGATGGTTTGGGGTGCCATGTCATCTGCTGGTGTTGGTCCACTGTGTTTTCTGAGGTCCAAGGTCAACGCAGCCGTCTACCAGGAAGTTTTAGAGCACTTCATGCTTCCTGCTGCTGACCAACTTTATGGAGATGCAGATTTAATTTTCCAACAGGACTTGCCACCTGCACACAGTGCCAAAGCTACCAGTACCTGGTTTAAGGACTATGGTATCCCTGTTTTAATTGGCCAGCAAACTGGCCTGACCTTAATCCTATAGAAAATCTATGGGGTATTGTGAAGAGGAAGATGCGATACGCCAGACCCAACAATGCAGAAGAGCTGAAGGCCACTATCAGAGCAACCTGGGCTCTCATAACACCTGAGCAGTGCCGCAGACTGATGGACTCCATGCCACGCCGCATTGCTGCAGTAATTCAGGCAAAAGGAGCCCCAACTAAGTACTGAGTGCTGTACATGCTCATACTGTTATGTTTTTTATACTTTTCAGTTGGCCAACATTTCTAAAAATCCTTTTTTTGTATTGTATTGGTCTTAAGTAATATTCTAATTTTCAGAGATCCTGAATTTGGGATTTTCATTAGTTGTCAGTTAATCATCACAATTAAATTAAATAAACGTTTGAAATTATCAGTCTGTGTGT